ACAAACTCATTCTAGTATACTTCTCATACAAAGTCAGATACAAAGACCTCTTCTGGCTCAAATAAAATCAGTCGTAGATTTATTCTGATACTTTTTACAGTTTGGAGTCAACATTTACTTTGGATGGCATCTATAAGACCATCTATGACGACTCTCAGTAATATTCTCTAAATGGAATCTACAAGCCCATTCTCTATATCATCAACCAACAACGTTACTTCATGCACAGGCGAGTGCAAATTTCTGGGCACTCTAGTGTTCAATCATCTTCCACCTTCAGATTACGAATGGCAGACATGCCAATCTAAATCTTCAGGTTTAAGAAGATTGAAAAGGGGCATATATTGTACCAAAAAATTTTCCCTCTCATTTTATTCAAGACATACTCATAGAGGTCCCCAAATGCTCAAGGTTGACTAAGAATTGACCAGACAAATTCTCCTCCTAAGCAATAGATCTCCAACTAGGGTTTCATTTTTCACAAAGAAGTTTGGGTTTCAAAGGCCTCGAGTGATTTCCATAGTTCCTAATATGTCCTAAAGAATATCCATGCCAAGTTTCATGCCTTGCATCACAAGTTTGCTCAGTCAATGGCTCAAATGTTTGAAAATCAACTATATTGGTAAAAAAGTCAAATGTAGTCAATATACAGTCAAACTTCAATATTATTGGTCAAACTCAACATTTTTAAGTTATATTCATAATTTGATCAAGTTTTAATCATGATTCCTCAAGGAAAGTTCTCAGATCATCAAAAGTCAAGAATTGCCAAATTAGGGTTTCCTTAGGAGAAGTCAACTGAACTTTGACTAGGCATAACTTTCACATGCTTCATTAAATTTTCCCCCAAAAAAAGTTAATTATGAAGAAAATTCAATTCCCTACAACTTTTCTTTTGTCCTCAAGTTCAAAAAATGCATCATTGGAAATATATGAGCCATTACATTACAGGTCTTTTTGAAAGTCAACAAAAAGACATTTTTTGTCAAGGCAAGTTACATCAAGATTATTTCTCCAAATGCAAAAATGGTCAACATAGAGATTGTAGGGGACATCTTGAAATTTCTAAAAAATTCAAGATCATCTCCAAAAGATAAAAATTGAGCAAGTTATGACTAGTACAAATTTGGAAAATTGGTGAAAATGCAAAAAAGTCAACTTTGAGCAAAAATGCATTTTTAAGTTCATAGACCTATTTTGTGGGATTCAAATATGTTTATGAATTACTCAAGGACCCCTAAATTCACTCTCACTTTGATTTTCATTTTTTCTCTATTTTATTCATATTTATTTTGTTTTTATTCAAATAAACACAAAATAAATCGTATAAAATAATAAATAAAAAGTATGGACACATGGGCTGATGATTTGGGTTGATATTAGACCTTAGAATTCGTACAAGGCATGAGGAAAAAGACCAGGTTCATTGCATCTCAAGAAGGACAAGTTTTCACAATTTTGGAAGTATTTTAATATGTTTGATATTGCTTTTAAAAGGGGGCCATTATGTGTTGATTCTTCCCATGTTTACTCACCATTCCATCACTCTATAAATACAAAACAAAAGCATAAGCCAAGATCACGAAAATTTGCACCAAAGCTCTCCAAAACAAATTCTCCAAATTCAAAGAAATTGTGAAAATCATATCTCGCATCTCCAACGGTTTTCAAACTGATCTAAACCTTTCATTGTCCTCCTGAAGGTCAGGAGTTAGAATCAATCATTATCCTTTGCAAATCAATCCCAGAAAACGCCCTCACATCGACTCCAGTTGGTAAGTTGGTAGGTTTCTTATTCTCAAGATTTTCACACTTTAAATCCATGTAAACATGTTTGTTTCATTTATATGCATTTTTTGCAATTTTCTAACATTTTACATGTAAGAATGAAGACATAAATAACAATCATGACCATGGTGCACCCCAAGGCACGTTCCCCACTGGATCACAAAAACATTAGACTTAAGTCTTTATTAATTAAATTAATTTTAATCACTTTTTTTTAATTAATTAACTAATTAGAATTAGGATTTTATAATTAATTTATTTTCATAAATTAAATTCAAATTATTATTAACACAAAATTGTTTTTTCTCATAAAAAGACCAAAAACATTTTTTCTTGCTTAGAATTTTAGTTTTTCTTTTTTAATTTTGTCCTTTAATTTATTTTTTAATTATTCCTTTGCTATTTAAATTCTAGAAAACAAATGTATAGGTCGCACGGATAATTTCGTAATAGTTGTAGTTTACATTACCTCACATTTTTTCTATTATGTAACTGCTTATGGGATGTAATAGCTGTAGGTCTTTACTTTCTCGCATTTTATTTTCTGCATTTATAGTTATGCATATATATATATATATATATATATATATATATATATATATATATATATATATATATATATATATATATATATATATATATATATATATATATATATATAACTGTGTAGTAACTAGTGCGTGTATGGCAAGATCTAAAAATAAAACGTTAGAAAACCTTAACATCAAAGATAAACAATAACTAAAACACAAACACTTCGCACATTTCGCACCTCAAAGGTACCTCCACTTGTTGGCTTCGGAAAACAACAGTCATGTCCTTCGAAAGTGGGGACGCTTTAGCAAAGAACCTCAAATCAAAAGATCCTAGTCCCTCGATGACCCTTTGGTGTTGCCTTTCGGTAAAATGATTTAGTCCCTTAAACGAAATTGCTAAAACGTCCTTACCAGTTGCCTTCAACGACTGTACGATGACCCGCACCTGTCCCTCAAAACATCCGACGATAGGGCTACCTACTCACTAATAGTAGGATAGCATTGTCTAAAGAAAAAGAGGAAAAGAATAAATCTTTTGAGTAAGTAGATAGCTCCTAGTTGCTTGCTCAAACAAAACAATTTCTCACACATACACAAACTATTTTTCTAAATATTTTCAAGACATGAAAACACTTTGTATACGTTCTCGCCGAAACGAGAAACATTACAAAGTTCGCCGCACTAAGGCGTATTTTCAAAATATCTTCAAAAACACACTTACACAAACAAGAATTTTCAAAATGAGCTAGCATCTAAGAGCCCGTAGATAACTACAGATGGAAAGGGTGCTAACACATTCCCTTTCCATAATCTACCCCCTTACTCGGAAATAATCTCGAAAGGTCTTTTTCTGTTCTTTTCACTATTTCCTTTGTTGGATAAAATAAAAGTCGGTGACGACTCTTGCTTACCGCAATATTTGCGAATACAAATGTAAAACCAGTATAACAATCAGTTTTGCCACCGTATTACACAAGGTTATGATGAAATCCATTAATGTTATGGTTGATGATTCAATTATTGTAAAAAGGGTTTGACGTCGAAGAAGATGTGGAACATCATCTTAACAGATCAATGTTTCAAAAAATGTGGAAGTTATTGAGTCCAACATGGAGCCAGTAAAGACTGAACCAGATAACCCTCAAGTCAACAAAAGGTCCCTCTATCAGAACTCATAAATATCATCCAAAGGAACTTATTATTGAAAATATTAATGAATGAATCACCATTAGATCGAGAGATGTGATATCCAATGCTTGTTTTGTCTCAAAGTTTGAACCTAAAAATGTGAAGGAGGCGTTGACTGATGAATTCTGGAGCAACTCTGCAATCACACCATCTAACACAAACCTTGAAATTTGAAGAATCAGATGTAGGTGAAAAGGACATGGTAGATGCTACTATGTTCATAGAACTGGTATAATCACTTAGGTACTTATGCCAAAGCATGCCAAATGTAAGCTTCCTAGTTGGATCGGTGAGTCAGTTTACGAGCAATCCTCTTAGACAACATCTCATTGCTGCAAAAAGAATCATGAGATACATCAGCGACACACAAGACTATGGCTTGTACTCATTGGATTATAGATTATGATTGGCGTGGTGATAAAATTGATAAGAGAAGCGCCACTAGATACTTGTTCAAGTTCCTGGGAGCACTCGTGTCATAAGGCTCAAAGAAGCAACAACTGGTGGCTTTGTCTAGTTGTGAGGTGCTGTTACTTATCAAGCAAATTGGGTTCTTGAATTATTTGATGAGATCAAACTGGAACAACCAATCAAGCTGCTGATATACAACAAATCAACCATCAATCTAGCTAAAAATCCTGTTGCACATGGGAAGAGCAAACACATATGAACCAAATTTCAATTTCTATGAAATCAAGTCACAAACGAAAAGTTTAATGTTGTGTATTGTTCAACTGAAGAACAAGCGGTTTATGCGTTCACTAAAGCAATCAAAAGAATGCAATTCTTAAAATTGAGAAGGGAACTTTAAGTTATAGCTTTTGACAACTTGTATTAAGAAGGAGTGTTAAATTAAATTCAAGCTTTGAGGTGTTATAGGTTTTCAGGAATTTGGATCCTCTACTGTCCAACAGGAGTCCAACTTTAGTTTTGTGTGTGATGAAAAAGAAATCAAAGAATTTAAATTAATTCAAAGAGACGAGAAAGATAAAATTGAGGAAATAGACACACGAAGGAGCATGAGGGAGAGCTGCAGAGGGTAGTGCAGTAGAGGATCCACATCCGGTTTTCAGATTGTTAGTTATTGATAACTAACTTAATTAGTTAGTTTTCTATATTTAGAAACTATGTATAAGCAGTTACTTGGTGTGCAAGTAATTGCTGACGAGAGCTATATACATAGCTTTTACCTCATTAATCACATACGTTAAATTCTTAACTTGTTTGCTCTCAATTGAGTAAAGCTTGAGAGAAGAAGAGTTCATAAATGGTACAAAGTTTTATAAGAGAAGAAGATCATGTCATGTATTTTCCCCTTTAGTATCATAATAGATACCGAGTGATTAGGAAGTCATCACCGTCCTTTGTTTTTTCTTTTAGATAAACTAGAACAACAACACTAAGGAAAAAAAAACATTGGCCATGCATGAACAAACCCACTCCATGCCTTTCTGATACATAACATATATAGTAGTGGTAAGTCATTGATCAGCAGAATGAGTTAAAGCCATTGCAGTTGAAGTCCTTCATCTGCATCATCACTAATATCTTCTCCTTTAACAATCTGTAGACAAAAAATATTTGTAATCTCTGCATCTCTGCTGAATCCATAACAATTCATAAAAATCCTAGGATCCAGAATTAGAAAGTACAAAGTTGGAGTCGATCTAACCTTGCAGGAATTGGATATTGATAGGCTGATTTTGAGATTCTTTGAAAACAAGGCCCTTCATCATAACCTTCACAAATGATTTCTCCGTGTTCATCTTGGTAGCAGACTATACCTTCAGATTGATCTTCATAAACCTGTTTTAATTAATTTGTCAAAATGAATCTATATAAACATGTGTATCATCCTATTAACTGACCTTGATATTGATGGATGCTGGGATCCTCCACAATACTACCGACGATGATGTCTTTTTCAGTGGGAAAAAGTTGCGTTTAAACATGAATTCAGTTTTTGGATACTTGAGAAATGATTCATACTTGTGATTTGGAAGTTTATTTGTTGAAGAAATACAGTTAACAGCCATCAATATCAAGAATAAGAATTAATAAACAAGGATTATGTTTTGCCTATATGTGCAATGGAATTATTGGTGGCTTCTGTCTTATCATGATGCATTATTATTATTATATACTCATGTGGAGACAAACTTGCTTATCTCTTACTTTTTTGCTTGCCGCTCAAGTGAACTCCAACTCATACTTTTTGTTCATTCTTTCATAGTGCTTCTCTCTTATCAATCCTATATTCATCGTTTAATCAACTAGCTAATCCCTTATTTGTAACATCTATGTTATTTATTATTGTAGTAAGAGTTGATAGTTACTTGAGATATCGCTCACAACTCTAATTCATGGAGGAAGTAACTTTGTCCCCATCTATGTATGTCTTTTAAACTCCTCCGTAAACGGCCAAGTATAAATTTTATATTCACATAGTCTAATATACCCCGTAGTCGAAACTAAAGGAGGGTGAATGTTGAGACTATTTCTAAAGTTGTCAAAAAATTGTAGTGGAAAACTCTTTACGAAGATATCGACAATTTGATAATGAGAGGGAACATGTAATACGCGCACTTGACCGCTAGCAACTTTTTATCGCATAAAGAGTATGTCCATTTCGATGTGTTTGATGCGTTGATGTTGAACTGGATTGTCAGAAAGGTACACAGCACTGACGTTGTCACAATAGGCTAAAGTTGCTTTTTTTAATAGGGCAATATAGTTGTAGAAGTAGATTTCAAATCCATCACGACTCATACACTACATTAGCCACTCCTCGGTATTCTGCCTCTACACTCGACCGAGACAAGGTATGTTGTTGTTTTGCAGACCAAGACAATAAATTATCACCAATATACATATAATACCCAGAGATAGATCTTCTTGTGTCTGGACAACCAGCTCAATCAATATCTGTGTAAGATATGAGCTTGTCGATGGAGGAAGAATATAGGTGGAGGTCAAATTCAACAATACCATGAATGTAACGAATGCTTTGTTTTAACGCATGCATTTGTTGTGTTTTTGGATCATGTATAAAGAGGCACACTTGCTGAACTGCACATGATATATCTGGTCTTGTAAACGTAAAGTACTGAGTGCACCTACAAGACTTTGATATTTTGTTGGATCATAATAGGGATTATTTGAGAATCCGCTGACTTTTGATTTGGTATCTGTAATACGGTGGAAGAACTGACTTTTGGTTTTGCATTTTATCGCAAATGTTGCAGATAGCATGAGTCGCCATCGACTTTTCTTTTATCCAATAAGGAAAGGATGAAACGAACAGGAAAGACCTTCGAGAATTTTCTGAGTTCGGGGGGTAGGTTAAGAAAATGGAAGGTGTTAGCACCCTTTTCATCCGTAGTTATCTACGGGCTCTTAATCGCTAGCTCACTTTTTGAAAATGCTTCGTGTCTTTGAAAATATTTTGAAAATGTCTAAGTGCGGCAATTTTGTAATGATTCTCGTACCGTTGAGAATGCATACAAAATATTTATTTTGAAAATATTTCAGAGAAAAAATGTGATTGTGAAGAGATGTTTGTTTTGAAATTTTATTGTGAGCAAGCGATTAAAAATTGTCTACCTACTCAAAAGTCTTTTATTCTTTTCCTCCTCCTTTAGATAGTATTATCCTACCATTAGTTAGTAGGAAGTCTTGTCGTTGTATGTATAAGGGACAGGCGCGGGTCATCGTACAGTCATAAAGGTAACTTGTAGCGAGCTTTAACAATTGTATCATAAGGGACTAATATCGTTTACCGAAGGCAACATCGAAAGACTACGATCTTTTAACCGAGGGTCTTTGCTAAAGTGTCCCACGTTCGAGGGACATGACTGTTTTACGAAGGCAACAAGTGAGGTTATCCTAAAGGTGCACGTGTAAATAGTGATTTAGTTCAGTTATTTCATGTTGGATTTAGGCTTATCTAGCGTTTTGTTTTAGATCTTGTCATACACACCTAATTACTATAAAATAATAAGTAAAAACAGTAAAAATGAAAATTAAATGTCCTATGCTATTATAATGCTTCGGAGAGGGGGTACAAACCATAAAAATTGAGGGAAAGAAAGAAAGCGATAAAAACAAAAACCTAATTAACTATTACAACCTTTAGCAGATACATTATTGTAAAAAATCTAATGCGAAAGTAAAAGAACGCGCGAAGATTGTAAAAGTAAAGAGAAACGGAAAAAGTTTTTTCTGATCGCTTTTGATGAAAATTGATGATTAACCTAACCTAATTAGTTTTAGTTTAGAAAAAGAAATTGATTATTGAAAAAAAATATATTTAATAATAAAAACCCTAAAGAAACTAAGTTAATTATTTCAATTAATTCAATTAAAAAAAGTTAATTTAATTTTAATTAATTAGAAAAAAAGGTTAATTATGTTAAAAAGAAATTAAAACAAAATAATCAAAAAAAGGAAAAGATGGACCTGAAGAAGTAAATTTGGGGATGTATGAGAAGCAATTCATTTGGGGCCCAAAACATTCCAGCCTAGATATTGTGAATGATCCAGTATGGCTGGATCCAAGGGATCCATGGTATGCTTGCAAATCTGGGACGCTAGATCTGGCCTGGTGAATATCTGAGAGTGATAACATGAAGCGCATGATGCACACGCTAGACTGACTTGTATTGGATCTGCAAACAAGAAAACATGCAAAATAAAATATCAAAATACCAGGAGCAGGGATCGAACCCGTGCCCTGGTATACTAACGACTTAACAATGACCGCTTCTACCGCTGGAGCAACTTTACATCCGCTAACATAAATCAAACTACAAAAATAAATATGAAGCGTGATTATATTGGCCGGAGAGGCGCCGGAGCCCTAGCTCCGACCGTCTTCTCCAACGACTTGTACGATCCAAAACCTACAAAATTAAAGAGTTAGTGATCTAAAACTTCCTAGTCCCCTTAATTTGACCCTCCTGAACCCGAATATGGACTTAGTTTTCGCTATAGGTCCTCATATCATGAGTTTTGAACAAAATGAAACCGATCGGAGTAACTGTGGTATCTCATGGTTCTGACTACATGATGTTGCAACTGGTTTTAAATCAGATTCGCCACTCTTAATTTTTATCCTAAAGGAAGGGAGTATAAAGGAATAACCCTAAAAAATATTCAGAGATTCTAGGTCTGACTCGGTTCTAGACGAGGGGAAGGTGTTAGGAACCCCTTATCTGCCTTGTTCGCAAGGATACTAGGTTTAGAAGCGCATTTTAGGAAATAGGATTTTAAGTTTTATTAGGGGAAAAAGGGTTTGAATTTTATTTAGCGGGATGATTTGATTTTAATTAGGGGGAAAAGGGATTTGTTTTTTAATTAGTGAAATGATTTAATTTTAATCAGGGGGAAAAGGGATTTGTTTTTTAATTAGTGGGATGATTTATTTTAATCAGGGGGACTCGCCACGATTTTAATCTTATGCCTACGTATCCTCTTAGGAGGAATCAGAGTCCTATTTTGTAGTTCGCGGTTGGTTTGTATTTTTTACGGATTACATAAATATTTTAATTTTCCCCGCACTTAGTTCGAATGTGTAGATAGCGGAGATTTTGAACTAAGCGTGAAGTTAACTAAAAACTCTTTGTATTCCTTTTTGAAAATTGATTGTTTGATTTAATTTATTACAAAAATAGTTTGACGTTTGTTTGCATATACTTTAGATGTATATAATCGAAGACTCTGATATAGCTCTCTTATCACGCGGCCAGATATTGGCCAGGTGTCGCTTACAAATATTATAGTTTAATAAAAATATGGGTTCTAATATTTGGATATAAAACATTAACCTAAATTATGTCGTAAAAATTATTTTTAAGTGCGGGGTTTTAATATGGATAAACAATATATTTAACTAGGTCTAAAATAATTAATCAATTGTAAAAATAAAAAAATAATGTATATATATATATATATATATATATATATATATATATATATATATATATATATATATATATATATATATATATATATATATATATATATATATATATATATATATATATATATATATATATATATATATAATTATAATTGTTAAAGTAATAAAACAAGAATAAATAAATATGGAAATATAATTAAATAAATTAATATAGAAATAAATTTATATAAAGAAAATATAAAAAAATATATAATTAGTGAGAGAGGTGCAGTTTATGTTATAGTAGTAAAATGAAGGGGTGTGTACAATAGGGGGTGCAAAATTCTCTATATGTTAGTAAAATAAAAAAAGGTAGGGTGTTGTTAGCGATTTGGGGATTAGAGTATTTTAGGAAAACATTCAATGTGTCTGCAATTATGTGTCACGAATTTCAAATGGTTTCCCTTTTTGTGTTGATTTATTTTAAGTCTATTTCTGTAAATAGAGGAAATCAAAGTTTTTCAAACTATTTCTACATTTAGTCGATCCTGTCCTGATTGTGTTCCTGCATTCATTGATTCTTGTTTAATGAGTATTGATTCAGATGCAAATTTTATGATTCCGTGCTCTGATTTATCGAGTATGCTCTGTTCTGAATTATAGCACATTTTCAAATTATGAATTAATTAAGTTCTGCTTTTGGTTTGATACTTTTCTTTTAATTCTGATATGAAAGGGATATCTATTTTGACAAGTCGTGCACTGATTTATTCATTACAAACTATCTTTTACTGGTTTGTGAAATTAACCAGTTCATTGAACTTGTTTTCTTTGGTGACATACAGGGTACTGGTTTCCATAGCCCGTGGAATAGGAAACTGAAGCGATGCAAGTTGAGTTGAACAACTTTGGTATGGATCTGAAACTGGTTCTTCTTTGTAGCTGATCTTCTATGTTTTCTTTAACGTGACTTGTTTAGTAGGATGTACTTCATATATATGAACGATGCCGCATTGATATATATGTTTCTGTTTGGATTTCATACAGGTCAAGAATTTAACTTGAAGTCTCTGAACAAAAGAATAGAATCATGGAGAAGGAAGATGAAGATGTGTGAGGAATGAGTAGTGAGCTAGG